TGTTGTCTGAAGTCATGAACGTTAGTTGGTGCTCCAGTATAATCGGTACGCCTGAAACTCATCCAGTGAGAAAAGTTCCGCGGTGCAAAAATAAGTGCGATTAAAATGCGTTAATTTTTGTGTAATTAATTAATCTTAATTAACGCGTTAAAGTCCCGGCCCTAATTCTTTATTAAACTGCTTCAAATTATTTCTCGTATCAACCAATTGGTCTCTATAGACATTACTAAAATTCAAATAGTTGTTAAACTACTGACAAGTTTTCTGAAACCGAGCTTATGAACAACAGAGTAAAGGTCGCTGGTTAAGCCAGGATCAATATATTTGTTGAAGTTTTTATTGTGTGCATAATAAATGTGTTAAATTAATTGAGCAATTCTTTAAAAAGTATAATGTTGCAATCTCTTTAAAATAAGTAATTACAGTTAAAAAAATAGATGTTGTTTTCCAAGGGCCTCTCCTTCACAGGCCCACACTTTGAATCATGACACTTCCAAGTCCTACAGAGATCAGTATCACTTTTGTGTTGCAAGCCAAATCCAGGGGTTCTACTCGAGCCCAATTTTAAATACCATAAAGAAAAGTATTGAACCCAGCTCGAGCTAAATGTCAAATGTATTTAATTAATGTGCAGGTGTTTTGATTTATTTAAAATGTTCCAGTCTAGCTTCCTTCGAGTTTAGTCTAAGCAACATATTGGTTCTCATAACATTCTCACTGCTGTCCCAAATGTTTTAAACCTTGGGCACACACACACACACACACACACACACACACACACACACACACACACACACACACACACACACACACACACACACACACACACACACACACACACACACACACACACACACACACACACACACACACACACACACACACACACACACACACACACTTTGGATAAGTATTCACCTTATCCAAATTGTAAATTGTTGCCTTCTTTAAAGTTATTAGTAATTCAAGATTAATTATTAAATTAAATGTGGTACATAACATAGAATAAATAAAATAACTTTGACTTGATAATTTCGTTCACAACATTAGACCTTGTCCTCTAATCTCTACTAGAATAAGATACGTGTGCATGTTTGGGTGTTTTAACACTCCTGTAATGTACCTAATCTTGTTATCCTTTTCATTACAGAGCTGGGAAAATTGTGTATTGCTTAGATTCTGATCCGTGCAAGTCCAATTTTGACTGACTTTAGTTCTAATGTCAATGTTAATTTGATTTCAACCCATAAGTAATTATTTAGATTAACTCAATATTTCACATGATGATGGATTAGTGTTCCACATTTTTTTCCACTAATTTGTTGTGCAATTAGGCCACAGGTAAAGAGAGACATTGATGACCTTGTGTCCCTTTTGTTGGTACGTGGTTCCATTTTGTCTATGGCCTTGGACGGCTTCACTAAGAGTCACCCAGTTCTACCCTGCTACAGTCCGGCTGAGTGCAGTCACAGAGATGCTATGGCTGCTCTACATGAAATGACATTAATGGTCTGGTCCGAGAATGGACACCATTTCCTGCTCCCAGAGAGAATGACGCTCCTCAAACTGAACATTACAGCCGTTGATACTGTCTCACGTGGGTCTGCTCCCCCTCACCGAGCCATGAACTGAAAGCTTGACATCTGCTTTGAACACCTGGAAGCCTCCCTGTCACACCAGCACCAACCCTTGGGTCAGTCAGATGAGACTAACGGCTTCACTTAGGGCAGATCATTTGGGTCAGATACATGACTCTCGTTACCGCAGAGTGGGTTGTTTTTTGAAGGCTATTCATACTGCTATGCAGAGGATGCCTGTAAGTTGGCAAGCTGTTAAAAGCCCCTACTATTTTTTAAAATAGGCCTAATGTCAGGGGCCTCTTAGTTCTACATGTATTCACATTATATGGACCATGTTTCCACCTGGTAAAACTAGAGGTTGCACAGTACTCAGGCTACAATACGACCATTCTGTTCTGCTCTAACGATTCAATTGATAGATTCTACATCAAAACAATTAGCTTTTATTGTTTCCAATGATAACGTCACTTTAAGTGGAGGAATGCAAACCTGTTTTCAAATGTTAGGTTTTGAATTTGTTTGACGTTTCTCAGTAGTGACACCCTCAGACACCCAATTCCATTCATGCTATGCTATCAGTAGTGACTCAGATGTTAAGGGGGATGAAGCTTTCCTCCCAAATGAGATATGCTTTGTTCTTCAACAAAGGTATACATTTCTTGCATAATATATGTTTCTCACAATTGTTTGTAAGCTGCACACAGGTGATACTGAGTCTTCTCGATTAATAGATTATAAACTACACCATGCTTAAATAGACTCCTAAGTTATTATTTCATATGTGACATATGTAAGAAAAGGGAGGGAAGAGCCAATTATAATTGATTTTATATTGGAACATTTATTTCTCAAACCTGTTTTATGGAAGAGAAAACAAATATTTCTGATATTTTATCAAACGGTAAATGGTGAATTAATATAACATTTAGAATCATTGAGAAGGGGTTATATCCACAGGGACTAGCTCACCTTTAAATTACAATAACATTTCTCTGCTTTGGACTGATGAGTATATGATTCTTGCATGTTAAATGACTAACACAAACCTTACATGTATGCATGTGCATGTGTCAGGAAGGCTCCCAAATAATTCTGAGGGGCCTATCCTATTTTTGTAATTAAATGATAATGTGCTAATCCATTACTTTGAGTTGTCTGCACTCAGGAAAACATCCCTATCAAGTGTTAACCCAATAACAAGGACAGCTCTGAAGGCCAAGGGTCAGAGAGAGAGGGTCACACTCTCCGGCTGCAGAGGGCACCCCCATCCACGGGCAAGGAGGCACAAGGTCGTTCGAGATGAGAGGATTCTAATCTTCAACTTTCTGAGGAGATGGGATGCTTCTTCATCTTTCTGCTCGGTGGGCTCAAGCAGACAACCCTGCAGGACGAGCAAGGGCTTCAGAGGCTTCATACAAGGTTCCTTGTTTCTTGGAGGAGTTTGATGTCTCTCATCACGGGGGGGGGGGGGGGACACACCTGGATGCGCCACTTGGAATATGCAGTTGCACTGCTCTAAAGCAGATAGCAGAAGGAATGCAGGCAGTTGATCCTCCATTTCACTGGGGGATCAACTACAGTGCTCACTGAATGAGCCACACAAAAGCAGAGCAATTGGGGGGGTTGAAATATGGCGCTCTGATGAAGAAGAGTTTGAGCCAATCAGCACCTCAGTGCTAATCTACAGTATCAGGATGCCTTTACACACCAGACATTCTTTGTCATAAAGAGAGGAGGAGAACGAGTCAGAAAGACTGAAGGACATGTTCTTCCAGTTCTCGTACAAAGATGAACTTTGAATTGATTTTATATCTTGGATGTTTACAGATGTACCATTAATGACTGTTTCTATATTTCCAATGACCAGACATGTGTTCGAATAGTGGTGATTAATATATTTTTGCCGGATCAGATTACACTTTCGCACTAAACAAAATTAATTGATTAATATTTTCAGATTATAAAGTATTGAATAATAAGATATTTCTACTATTATCACAGATAATGTTAATATCCTTAATCGTCCAGCAATTAGGCTTAACAACACTACTCTTTAATGTATTATCCATGCACAGAAAGACCTAAAATGATGTTTCAAGTACTGGATTAATTTCAGTTTTGGCCCAAAACAAATATGTTTGCTATTGTGCACCTGTGTTTTATGTGTGTTCATTATTATGCTTTTGACAAAAGATGATCCAAATACTGATGAGAAATGATTTTTCTATTATGATTGGCTGTATCAATCATTGTGATTGAATGTTTCAATCTTATTATGTTTGTAGCTCTTTTCACGACACAGACACAGGTCGGTTCTTTAAAACGGGCGTTTATTTCTTGGGAGTTTTCATCCTGTAGTCTTCCCTCTTCCGTTACGCCGTGAGAACTACAACACCGAAATGACACGCATACATAGCCAAACACATTAGCATATTGTGCTACACATATGAATGAAAACAAGAAAATGAAAACACAAAACATATACCTCGTTGGTTAATTTAGTTCCTTTTCTGCATAACTTCGTCACAGACCTCCCGTCACACTAAACTTTATCACAGACCTCAGCAGAGCTTCAAAAAGACGTCAACCCACATGGAGTTGTACAGTGTAACAGCAAAACACGCAGTACCAGCACATGAACAAACATTAGTTCCTAGGCACAAGAAACACATACGCATATCGGCCCAAGATGTAAAACAAACTGTATTAAATCATGCCATATTTAACGATTATAAATAACATGAAATAAAGTATTCATTTATCCAATTGAACTATGACATTAACCGTGTTACTCCTTTTAATTAAGGCAACTTCGTTACGTCATTTACAATGTTGTTCTTAATGTGATTGTTATTGATGTAATTGATGTTGTGTATGTAGATTCCCATTGATTTAAGTATTGAACAAAATATTATTGGACTAAAGTTTTTAGATTATCAAAATTGATAAAAAGAAAAAACTGTTGGGGAATATTTTCCAAGGCCCATAACTTTGACCCAGTTTATTAGTTCAAACTGTCCTGACTGAGCACACGCACCTCGTAACCTTGGCTGCTGTGCTCTCAGTGTTCTGTCTCCCTGTTCCTGCCTGTTGGCGTCAGCTGATAGAGGTGTTATGATTCTATGTTCCTGCCTGTTGACGTCAGCTGATAGAGGTGTTATGATTTTATCTTGTTATGCAGCATGTTGATGATGCTCTCGGAACTAGCTAAATACATGGGTCTGGGGTAGAGTTCTTGAGAATTGACGTGGGAACTCTACCGTGCAGTCAGATCGTGGCTGCTGTGACTTGTGATGTGAATCCTCCGGCCGAAGCTCCTAATAAACCATCAGTGTTTGACATCAAAGCTCCTGCTCTTCCCGTGTCTCTTTCCTGAGTTGGTGACTCCCACTGCATTGCTACACAGAAGTTTCCCTTACACTTACAACAACCGCAGACAGATAAAGTACCTCCGGGTGGTTTTTGGTGAAGCAGTTGAGGACTTCTCTTTAGCGATACAGTGACAGCAGCTTTGAGACACCTTTCTACAACAGAGGACTCATCCACTATAGACTAGGTAAGGGCAGCGCCATATAGACTGAGAGTTATGTCATCTCCGTTCACTCCAATGGACCACTTTTTTACAGCAATGGCGGATCGTGGAGCCTCTCAATCGTTCCCCGGAAGTTAGCGCCAAGGCTAGCAGAGCTATAGAGTTGCAGCATAATAGACCGTTCGTGACGGACTTTTAAAGGTAAGAAGAAGTTTAAAGATTTATATTGCGGATATTATCAGTACATCTGATTCAAATTAACATGTGTATTAAAGGATGTCAGTGGATTATCCCTAAATTAGTAGATTTAGGGAACGTTTACAGATAACAGATTAAGCTAGGATACCGAAGCAAATTAGCAACAGACGTTGAACAGCCTTTTAATTGTAAATTCCGTTCTCTTAATGTCTATTTGGTCCAACGTTGTTGAATTAGAGAAGAGGGGCTTCTAAACGGGATTATATGCGGGGGTGGAGGGAGTTAAATAATAGATAAATATAACTTTGGTGCGTGTAGAGTGAGTGTTTTTAGCAGAGCCATATTGTGTCCTTGTGATTATGTTGATTATTACCTGTCTGTATAATGTTGCAGCTCAGCTGATTTTGGATTGATGGCAAAGGGAGAGGGACTTAAGTGAGAGTGAAAACACAAGGTAAGTTTAATACTAGTGTTTTATATAAGTAAACACCTTATCTCCCCAAGGCAATTTCCCATCCAATAGGTGTGCTATATAGGTGTGTATAATCAGGGGTGCACATAACTTTTTTGCCCTGGTTCTCAAAGGAGCACCTGGAGATGTTGCTTGGTGCTCATCCTTAAAATGAAATAAACTGTAACTTTTGAGGGGGTCTTGACTTTATTTGCCAGACACACGGCACTGAACACACATGCAGAGGTGAACACAGAACACACATGCAGAGGTGAACACAGAACACACATGCAGAGGTGAACACAAGACAACATTAGCACGAGCAGTAATCCTACAAGCTGTCATCACTCCCCTCCTGACTGTTCTCCTCTCTGTCTTCCTCTCTGTCAGACATGGTAGCTGATGATGTAGGCCTACTTCTTTCTCTCTGGTTGAGTCTGCGATTAGCTGCTTGCATCCACAAGTCAACATCTGGTTTTGGGTCGAAAGTCTCTGTTGTCATCTTAGACAAGTGGATGTAATCAAATAAGTATGTGAACATAACCAATAACCTACCATAGCCAATAACAAATGAATGTAACTTATTTTATTTGTGTTGTTCATTCATATCTTATTTTACCTTAACATTTATTTATGCATTTCTTTTTTTATCTCTCCAGTTTTAAAGGATATTTTTGGTTACTGTCCTATAGTATGCATTGGAATGATTTCAAACCTGTTTATCCCAATAATTATAAAGGAGTGCCTTGGAAATATGTGTTTACATAAATTGTGACCAAACCGTTTGAACTTAGACTAAAGTGAACCATCTAAACACTCAAGAGTCCTTTACCTCACTGAGCTGTAGTATCAGCCTCTCAGTCTGACTGGAGAGGACTCTCCCTCCACATTATTCTAGAAACATCTTCTTCTTATATCCGTTAGAGCAGCTAGCACCAGATTCTAATAACAACACCGGGCGGTGCGCCCTTCTCTCTCTCCCTCGCTCATTCGCATTTTTTTCGCGCCAGATAAGCCAACATCCCCCATTTTCATCACTTACAGCGCCCATTGTACAGGGCAAATGAAACGTGTAACCGGGGTGAAAAGGGTGTTACATTTACTTAATTATGAATATTGTTACATCAAGGCCAAAAATTAGGATGAGCCCCAACGGTCAAAAATGTTTTTTTCCCTCCCAGAACTGCCAGCGCAGCGACTCCCCAGATCTGGCGCCCTAGGCGAACATCTATAACGCCAGTGCTACGGGCCGACCCTGAGTTAATATGCAACTCGCAAATATATTTCTCTCCTCTCTCCTCTCTTCTCCCTCTCCCTCTCTCAATTTTGGTACGCAAATGCGCCTTTTTTCAAATGACCCGGTGCTCTTTTTTTGGTGGAGGTGCGCATGCGCACCAGTTATGTGCAGCCCTGTGTATAACCCTTTCTCCTGTCTGTTACTCCCTCTTTCAGCACAAGAACCAGAGGGGGATTCAATGGAGCCTGAATACCTGCACTGAGACCCTCACCCTGCACCCTGAGTCTCAACTCTCAGTGTTTTTCAAGCCTTTCCCTGTTTTTTTGTATTAAACAAAACATTAAGCTTTCCCAATGGTGTGGTTTTCGTTTTGTGAAAAAGTGCAAATGCAGTGTTTGTATATAATTAAATCACATATTTGTTTGCTGTTGGTAGTGAAATTGCTCCTGCTGACTTGAGCCAGCCATTTTTTCCTCCGCTCTGTGTCAGTGGGTAAGCCGTACATTCGTACTCCTTTCTCTGAGCGATTGGAGCATCCCCAGGCAGCACAGCAAACCATGGTGGCGACTAGGAGGCAGCACAGCAAACCAGAACAACACGGAGGAAAAGGCACAGACAAACTGCATGATATGCTATTCAATGTTTATTGAATGCATGTATTTGCAATGGATGTTCCTAATACAACACATTTAACATCATCATCATCATGCTGCTGCTGCTAGTCCTTTGATAGTCACCTGTCGGTCTCCTGTCCTTTCTGAAAGCCATAAAGATGACATTAGTCATTTAGATAACTTGTGTCCTCAATTACCATGGGATTACTGAAACTACCATGAATTTAAGAAAATGGTAGAAATTAATCTAATCTGAATTTTAAAGCATTACTTTAGATCCCCTCCCTCTAAATATATCAATAAACATTAGAAAGTGATTCTCCTGACTACCATACAAGTTTAAGAAGATAATATTGGTTTTAAAGAATTCAAAGCTATAAATAAACAGCAACAGGCTCTTTAACCAAGGCACTGTTAGTCTAACATGTAAACTAGTTGTTCACACTAATCCTAATATTATCACTTAATATTAGCAAATTCTATTTTATTTTTAAAAACATATTGATGTAAATACATACACATATTGATTTGTTGTATAAATATTGCAAATCAAAACCTTTATTCACTAATAATTACCAAAAATCGTAGTTCTATCTCCTGTTATCAACGCATTCACATTGCCTGCCATGAACTTCCGGGGAACGATCCTCGTCTACATGAACCACGTGACGATAACCGTTTTTGCACTTCCGTTGTCATAACTCTTCTATCTATATGGCGCTGGGTAAGGGTACAGAGACCCCTTTCAGTCCAAAGTTCACAGGAGATAGTTATCTGTTATTTTCAAGCCTGACAGAGTAAACAAAATTCACTTCCGCTTTGCTTCAAAATAATTGTATATTTAGGTTGGATATTGGATTGATATTCACTTGTGTTTTCTAGGTCTGCTTCACTAACTGTCGGAACCTCTTTTCTTGTGGATTTTAGTCCATTTTTTTTTAGATTAATATAAAACTAACAATAAATAAAACATTTTTTTTGCAATAGCTTCCATATATGACCTATTGACCCCAAATCAATGCAGCATTGTACAACATAACTAGACGAGAAGGATACACACCTCTTTGTACATTTAAATTGCCTTTTCTATTTGATATGAATATTGTCATGACAACTATGCAGTTTCTTTATTGGCTGCAATGTTAATTGGCTTCAATATCATATTTGTCCAGTGTAGGATTAATATCAGAGGCCTGTACTACGAAGCAGGATTTTCGCTTAGCCGGCTAACTTCAGGGAAAACTCAGGGTTTCTGGTCCTACGATGCTGGTTCTCTTTTTAGCAGGCTAGATCTCCATGGTAACTTATGCTGAGCGTCTAACCTGCCCCGGAGCAGGTTAGGTTGCAGGCTAAGAGATCAACTCAGTGAAAGCACCGCCTGCTGACCAATCAGAGCTCAGTGTGCGGAGTTTAAAGTGATCAAGTCATACAGGAGAAAGGAAATACAGAAAAACTGCCGTTGCAGGAAAGACGGCCGGCAAGAATCACCGACTGTGTGAACGTGAACATTAATAGAATATCACCTCCCATCTTCAGAGCAATCTGACTATTATAACATTAGCGTTAAGAAAGCTTAATTAAATATCTGCCACAACATAAGTAACCGGATCAAAGTAACAGTACAGTCTGCGGCATATCACATCATAATGTATCATATATTTCCTTATCTGAGTCAGCTGAGCCGTATCTGGCCGTGCAACACTCACAGTGTCACATACTGTATGCAGAAGTATTATTTTAAGCATCACATTAAGTTGACGAAACACTCGAGTCAAATGTAATGAAAGTCATATCGTGTCTTAGACGGAGCAGTGATATCATAAACCTGTTAATGTACGCATTCAAACACTTTTTCTTTTGCCAGCTGTATTCACCTTGCAGGTGCAGCTATGTGGCTTTTATCCTGGATAAAGTGTTTAAGTCATGGATGTTTAAAGTTTAACGTCTTCATTTTTGACTAGTATTAAAGTTCACTTTTCATTCAGGAAGTATGACGCTGCGCTGTCAGTACGCTTCTCCATGTTTGTGATTGGTCGAATGCTCCAAATACCACCCCTTTCATGTGAACGCGCACCTAACTAGATAGGAAACGGCTGGCTTGAGCGATCCACTTGATAACCAGCGTCGTAGTACAGTTTAGCGAGAGCGCGTATGTTTTGGATTAGGCCAACCGGCTAACTCAAACATATCCAGGTTAGGTTGAACCAGCTTTGTAGTATAGGCCCCAGATGGAGCTGTGTACTTACTTGTTCTCATGATGCCCAGAACATAAAACTGCTGACTCTTAATGAGCTAGTTTGGCAGTACATTACATATCATGACATTTATCTATGAACATTTTTAATGTTACATTACATTACATTACATTGCATTTAGCTGACGCTTTTATCCAAAGCGACTTACAATAAGTGCGTTCGACCAACAAAATACAAACTTGAAGAAAACAGAATCATATAAGTACATCAGGTTTCATAGAGCAAAAACATTTCAAGTGCTACTCAACTGGCTTTAGATAAGCCAGCCCTTTATTAGAATATAAGTGCTTTGTTAATAGTTCTATCGCTCGAAGTGGAGTCGAAAGAGATGAGTTTTCAGTCTGCGCCGGAAGGTGTGTAAGCTATCTGCTGTCCTGATGTCAATGGGGAGCTCATTCCACCATTTAGGAGCCAGGATAGCAAACCCACGTGTTTTTGCTGATGGGAACTTGGGTCCCCTTCGCAGCGAGGGTGCAGCGAGCCGTTTGGTTGATGCAGAGCGGAGTGCACGTGCTGGGGTGTACGGTTTAACCATGTCCTGGATGTAGGAAGGGCCAGATCCATTCGCAGCATGGTACGCAAGTACCATTGTCTTGATGTGGATGTCTTATAGGTTTTTTCGATGATGCCAAGAGTGACTTCCAACAAGTATTGAAGATGAATCCAGATTTTGAAGATGCCAAAGTGAGCCTGAAACAGACACTTCTGGACCAGCAGCACAAGATAGACAGGGGATACTGACAACTCCATAAACTATAGAATATACCTTTTTATAAATCCTGAAATCTGTTGGCTTGAAGAAACAATCTGTGAAGTTTTGTCAAATTATTTACAATAATGTACAGCTATCGTATAGAAAATTGGAATTGTATTTGATCTGAACATGAATCCTTTGATTAAAGATATCAGAATGAAGATGAACCTTAAAGTAAACACAAACCACATAAAAAATAACCTACACAAGGAACAGAAACAATGAAAATAAAACTATTGCTGCAAAACCATTCAGTTTGAACCTATGAAACCAAGTAGAAATCCCACAGGGATGGGTGCGACATTTTGATATGGTTTTTGTTAAGCAGAGCATCGATTATTCCTTCTTCTGCACTGACTCAACACTCTTCCAGTTGGAACATATTGTTATGGCCTCATAAATGAACATATATCATTGCATAATTGGACAGAGCAGAAAAATCGACCCGGGGTGAAACGATAAACTCGGGTTTTACTGTCTGTAATAAATGTTAGTGCATCCTTAGTGGTTTGAGAATATATACAAACAATAATCAAGTGTTAGATTACAGTCATTATAAGGAGGCTCAAAGGAAAAATCAAAAGCACATGTGATTTTAAGGAAAAGTTTAATTTATTATTAACTGTGGATTATTTTGTTGCTTCTTCAAATATAAAAAAGTAATATATGTATAATATCAAATACAAATCTACTTTTTCTGAATAATAAATACTTTTTTTACACTACTGAAAAATGTGTGTTTTTCCTTTCCATACATATGTTCTTACAATATGTTCTTAATAAACTAGGCATACATCAGCTCACCTTGTGTGTGTGTGTGTGTGTGTGTGTGTGTGTGTGTGTGTGTGTGTGTGTGTGTGTGTGTGTGTGTGTGTGTGTGTGTGTGTGTGGAGAATCCTTAACAAGCCTCACCTGTGCTTTGTCGTTAAGTGGAATATAAAGCAGCTGCTGATGTCTCAGTTAATCATCCAGTCACCTTCATTTTAGACTTGTGTTTTTGTTGGAAGGTGTGCTGGACATTGCCAAGCTCTGATACTGACTGTATTCTTTTTGGTTTTACTGCTTACAAACTGCAACATGCTGAGGCTTGGGAACATGTAAGTTACATTTCTTGTAGATTTCTTTCTATGTGTGTACTTAATTGTCTCTAAATGATGTGTTTTATGTGTTCAAGTTTGTTATGGATGGCTGCAGCTATCATCTTGTGTCAAGCCAGGCCTAATGTGAAGCTAAATTCGCAGTCAAGTAAGCTTCAATTCTCATCAAGTCATTTTACACAGCATATTAAGTCGGTTTACATTCTCCTCACAAGCCTTTTCTTTTAACAGGCAGTGGGTTAAGGTCTGACTGTGCCGCAAATGTAATGAGACTGTCGTTGGACAAGGCTTTAGCAGTGGGAAACCAGCTTGAGGTGGAGGCTATCGGTAAGTATTAACTGCTAATAATGCAGCTGATTGGTTCATCACTGAGGAAAGGGGTCCCTGACAAAGCTTATTTTCTCCCCTCAGATGGCACCAAGCACATTTTGTTAACACCTAGCATGGCTGCTCAGTGTGGATACAGCATGGAGTCTGACCCGTGGGGTAACACCAGAATCTACACCTCCCTGATGGGCTGCTTTGTGGACAACAAGGTTTGTTTTGAGCTAAAGTGGTTTAACAGCATTCAATGTAATTTTCTACCAGGTTTAGCTGTGCTAATTCTGTCTCAAGTGACTGAATTAATGGCTCAACAAACACATGGTTGCTCCCATTTTTGTGTTTCCCTGAATTTATTTGTAACCCTTTACCGTTAAAAGACCCAAAGTACATTTCCCTTTTTGTTTGGTACATCCCTAAAATATTAGCTCTGCTCCACTCAAAACTGTATTCCTCAATTAATCTACTAGGTGCTTTCTTGACTTGTTTGTTACATACATAAATATCCATTTAGACTTCAAATGTGTCCCTAAAGGCAAGGATATTACATTTTCAATGACAAAGAAGCTGGAACCAAAGAATATTAGGGAGTTTCACTTAATTTAGTTTTTTTTTATATTTATAGGATGATGCTACATTTAACGTTGGCTTGAGACTCAAGATGTACGGCGAGAATCCATCAGACGTGGTCAGTCATGACGTGTCTCAGACTTGCAGCTACACTCGCTGGGCCTCCAGGGAGATCCTCTGCGACAGGAACTACATGGAAGTAGGTCATCTTTATATTGATTCCACCATCTTGTGTGTATGGAAACGAATGCTAAAACCACCATTTTCTGTTTTAGGTTTCGCACCACATGGCTAACCTTGATGCTGAAGCTAAGGGTCAGACTCGGGATGGTAAAGACGAGAAGCTCAACGCCAATCTTGAAGTATGTTGAATTAAACTGTTCAGATACTACAGTTGAATTCCTCCCTACACAATGAGGATTTAATTATTATTTGTTCTTTCCTGTAGGCCTCTGGTGCATCACGTTTTACACCCCAGAACCAGTGGCCATGGTGTTGCAAGAGGCTGAACAAGCCGGCTACGCTGCCAAAACTACCTCTAGTCGCCTGGTTATGCGAAGCCCGTACAATACAGCGGAGACTTATTCAGAGGATGTAAGCAACACACATACAGTGTTTATTTCCTTTCCCTCCTTGTCAATTATATTAAACCTCTCCTTTCTTTAGGTGGCTGGAGTCCCCATGGAAGTTTTCAGGGTGAGCGTCTACTACATGGCACCACAGGGTCTGAATGTAGTGAACTTGGCAGCTGCTTGTCCCAAAGGTGAGTCCTGAGCAACATATTGCCTTCACAGTAAGCTTAATTGTTGCACAGTTAACCTCAACAGCTCCATTTTGTCATTAACAGGTGGCGTCCTCTTCACCGAGGATATGATCTCTTGGCACGTACCTCGCCGTGTGACTCCTCTGTTGGACGGCAGAATTACAGTCTCAGAAATGCACATGGGAATCAACGGGCAGAGGCTTGATAGATCTCAGATGGCCGCACGGGGGTACACACTGAGCACCACAGACTTCCACATCGTCGTCGAGATCCCAGTGGGCTCGCCTGATGGTTACTACAAGGTTGGGGAAATCTCTAGATTAGAAATGCAAGAGTCACTAGTGCATTTGCATGTTTTATTGAAATGTCATGAATTATTGCAGAGCCATGCCCCAGATTACCAGTACCACATCACCTACTTTGTGGAGCCCATGCTTGAGGTACTGTGGAGAGAAGATGACACCCAAGATTATACCAGATACAAGGTTTTGTTCCCCATCATGACCCCTCTGATGCCTCAATCTCCCCAAATCCAGGATGGTAAGTCACATTTTCTAGTAGGTATGAAAAAAATGACATTTGAACTCGGGCTTGCTCAGATATATCCTAAAGACTGCTACTTTTTAGTTTTTTTTAAATGGCACTCAAGCCAACTACTCAATTTTTCTCTATCAATGTTGAGGCTGGTTTAGAAGTTGTAAACCTGCCACTTTCTGTTCCTCAGACACTGTCCCAGAGACTCGGGTGTTCAGCGTTCTCTTGGGAACCTTCCTCCATGACGTTGAGCTGAGGAACATCACCTTCTCCACCGGGGTCCTCACTGTTGAGGAGAGCAATGCCAAAGGCTTCACAGTCCAGGAACACAGCTTGGCTAATGGCTCCAAGAGCTTCTCTCTTCAAGTGCCCTTTGATGCCGATGTTGTCTTAAAACATGTATGACATTATAGATTCAAAATATCACTTTGTACCAGCATATTTTCAGTGTTGCTGAGCTTTTATTTCATTGGTTGCAGAATCCTGAGCGCTTGGTTACATCCTACTTCCTCCCTCTGATCTTTGGGTTGATCGTCCTGCCTGAAGAAACTCCTTTTGCTCTCCCGGTCGACCTGCATGCCTCTCTGCAGGATATTGGTGAGATCATATTGAATTTGCTTTTGACAATATCTTCATGCAAATTGTGTTTTCTAAAATTAAATAAAACATATATAAGAGTAAAAGCTACACAATCAAATGGATAATGCATCTTTTGCTGCTCTAGTGCTACCCATCATGGCTGGCACCTGTGACCAGAACCAGTTTTACATCAGCGTGAAATTCGGGAGTCACGGCTCTAATTTCAAGGCTATCGTTGGACCTCGAGAGCTGACGGCTGAGATGGCTGAAGACTACAATTTCTATGAGAACGGCACACACCTCAGCCTCATTCTGCCATACACTGCCAAGGACGCTGTTTTCGAGGTATGTCAAAACTACAAAATCCCACCATAGATCTTCTGCATTGGCTAACTTTACTTTCTTTTCCACAGCTGCTCACTGCAGAATCAGTCAAATCCAGAATTGACCTGCTTCTGTTGGATCGTGCAAACGACTGGGTGCTTGCTGATCTCTATCTGGCTTGCTACTTCCCCTTAAAAGCAACAGGTAAGATGGAACATGTAAGTATATTTGCTGCTTTAATTGATGGATTTGTGTTGCTTTACACATTGCCTGCTTCTTCCTTCAGAGTGCCACCCCAATGGCACAATGACCGCTGTGGCTGTGAAGGTTGAATCGACTCGTAATCTGAAGCCAAGTCAGCTGACGCTAAAGGACCAGTCCTGCACACCACAGTTCAGCGACGATCGCTTTGCATATTTCTCCTTCAGTGTGGATACCTGTGGAACCACCAGAACGGTGAGTGTGAATCACATTTAAATATCAAAAGGGTTTTTTGTCAAATGTTAATGCATTTTTGTTGTTAAATAGTTCTTTGACAACTACATGATGTATGAAAATGAGATCCGCCTGTCTTACAACAACGCCAAAGGAGCAGCCAACACATCACCAGTTGATCCTGATTACAGGTAAAATATTTGATTCTGTATAATTGGAGATGAATACCTTCAATGTATGCATTTATATATTATTTTTCCCCTAATAGGCAAACCATTTCCTGCTTCTATGTGGTCAATGAGACTCAGACTGTTGCCTTCAGCGCTAAACCAAGAACCTATGAGCCCGCTGCAGAGATCGGCACCGGCCAGCTGATGGTTGCAGATGAGGCTTTCCCAAGGCATGGTGGAATTTTACAACATCTTGTTCATGCATACAAAACACTGTTTGCAGGTCTCCCTTGAAAAAGAGATTTTTGATCTCAAGGGACCAATCTGAT